TTTGGCTTTGCTCAATGATGGATCACTGTTTTGTGAGGAGACAGAAAAACCCTCAGATTCATCCTTTACTTTGTGTTTGACACATTCCCCTTTACCTTCAACCTCAGAACCCACAACTGATCCTCAAGCTAGTTTATCTCCAATATCGGAAAGCACTCTCAGCATTGCTATTGGCAGTTCTGTTATCAATGGTTTGCCTACTTATAATGGGCTTTCAATAGATAGATTTGGTATAAATATTCCTTCACCTGAACATTCAAATACGATTGATGTATGTAACACTGTTGACATAAAAACTGAGGATCTGTCTGACAGCCTGCCACCTGTATGCGATACGGTAGCCACTGACTTGTGCTCTACAGGCATTGATATCTGCAGTTTCAGTGAAGACATAAAACCTGGTGACTCTCTGTTACTGAGTGTGGAGGAAGTACTCCGGAGTTTAGAAACTGTTTCAAATACAGAGGTTTGTTGTCCTAATTTGCAGCCCAATTTGGAAGCCACTGTATCCAATGGACCTTTTCTGCAGCTTTCTTCTCAGTCTCTTAGCCATAATGTTTTTATGTCCACCAGTCCTGCACTTCATGGGTTATCATGTACAGCAGCAACACCGAAGGTAGCAAAACTGAACAGAAAACGATCCAGATCAGAAAGTGACAGCGAGAAAGTTCAGCCACTTCCAATTTCTACCATTATCCGAGGCCCAACATTAGGGGCATCTGCTCCTGTGACAGTGAAACGTGAGAGCAAAATTTCTCTTCAGCCTATAGCAACTGTTCCCAATGGAGGAACAACACCCAAGATCAGCAAAACTGTACTTTTGTCGACGAAAAGCATGAAAAAGAGTCATGAACATGGATCTAAGAAATCTCACTCTAAAACCAAGCCAGGTATTCTTAAAAAAGACAAAACAGTAAAGGAGAAGATTCCTAGTCATCATTTTATGCCAGGAAGTCCTACCAAGACTGTGTACAAAAAACCCCAGGAAAAGAAAGGGTGTAAATGTGGGCGTGCTACTCAAAATCCAAGTGTTCTTACATGCCGCGGCCAACGCTGCCCTTGCTACTCTAATCGCAAAGCCTGCTTAGATTGTATATGTCGTGGCTGCCAAAACTCCTATATGGCCAATGGGGAGAAGAAGCTGGAGGCATTTGCTGTGCCAGAAAAGGCTTTAGAGCAGACCAGGCTCACTTTGGGCATTAATGTGACTAGCATTGCTGTGCGTAATGCTAGTACCAGCACCAGTGTAATTAATGTCACAGGGTCCCCAGTAACGACGTTTTTAGCTGCCAGTACACATGACGACAAAAGTTTGGATGAAGCTATAGACATGAGATTCGACTGTTAAATCAGTGGGTCTTTAAACCTACCTCTGGTAGGGCAAATAGCTACAGTTTTACGGCAGCTATGGTTTTGTTGGTTTAACTTGCCGGAGCTCCTGCATATAGATCACTTGTATCAAGTGTTTTCATTGCTAAGTTATATGTGTTAGTGTCGGGGAAATAGTTTGCAGATAATGGAGGAGTAACCCTACAACTATATGTCCTTAGTTCTTACAGAACCTCATAGTTTGAGAACAAATGCTGATGCAACTGATTTATACAAAATGAACTTTGGCAAGGAAAATAACATTAACCTCATTGTTTATGGTCATGCTTTGTGCATAATCAAAGTTTATGATTAAATGTAAGAAGTGGTATCTAGTCAGTCCATAAAGATTGTGCAGATTTTTGTGGAAAAGTAGCCATTACTTTTCATTTACTGTTGGGGAAACTCAGTGCTGCCTTCAGATGCCATTGATGTTTCTCTTGTTGAAAAGCTGATGTGTCCAGCTCAACCTTTGTGCTGACATAATACCATTTCTGATCATGAAAATTGGCTACTGGTGTATGTAGCAGTTCTTAAATCAGCAGTATTATGAAAGAAAATTTGCCCCTCATTAGAATGTTGAAGAAATCTGTCTTTTTAAAAGTGAACAGACTGAAATTCTGTCAGACTGCAAATGTCTTAACTCTTGATGCTACAGAACTCTTCTGAGTTTATTCTAGGGGAAAAATTCAAAATCCTTCACTTTGAGCAATGTTCTAATTAAATGAAGTGGAGAAGAGCAGTTTTATTCTGAAGGTAATTAGAATATAGATGACATTAAACTTATTAAAATGTTTTAATTAGAAATTGGGATTTAAAATTATTTTGGAATAATGCCCCCATATGTATCCAGATTTGTGCATTATACGTATTGCCATTGGCCACTTTGATTTTTTTTAAAATTTCCTTGAATAGTTTGCCACTTTATTTTGAATATGCTCCCCCTTATTTTTTAGGGTGCTATTCTTATGAAGGCTTTTTATAGAAGCCTAATAAAATGTTTTTTTATGAAGCCTGTGCATTTGGGTAGGTTTGAAGCTAGGAAGATTTTCTTTAGAATGCTCTTTTGCATGTAAAGCACAAACTGTTTCAGTTTCAGTGCGCTTCTTCCTATGGGGGAAGACAAGTGAGTCACATTCTGTTAAAGGGAAATCTAGTCAGTTACTTGAAAGAGCACAGTCCACACAAAACAAGGGCTGACTAGGTTGGAAAGAAATGACCTTATGATTTAAGAGTTGCTGCTTTGACAGTGCTTAAAGAAAAATACTGCTGGAAAAGATACAATTTCTACTACGTTCACCATCTCTCATGAGATCTGGCATATGTTGAAGTTATGTTTTGATTTGGCACACAGCATGTTCAATGATGGTTACCCGCCTAATACAAGACATGGAGAAGAAACCGTTGGACACAGAGCAGATGACACCTCCTTCTGTTTTGTAGTGTATCCTGGTGTCATTTTCTGTGAATGTGGTCAGGTAGAGTTGTTTTTGTTGTTGTTGTTGGGCCTTTTTTTTTTTTTTGTCTTTTTGGTGGGGTGGGGGTGGGCTAAAGCCATAGGAAGAAAAATGTGATGTATGTGTCCAGTATGTACTATTTTGTTTTTTTGTTTTGCAAGAAGAGTTGAACTATTTTTGATAACAAGAGTAAATGGTGGAAAATGCTTCTTAGTTGTCTTGTCTTTATTTGCTTTCGAAGTTTTGGAATTTTATTTAATTCCTTTAAGTGTTAGCAGTGTCTTATGAAACATGTATTTGCCTAAAGTTTGTAACAGTTTTGTGTTGAACCCAGATGCTCTGCTATATAAATTTGTAAATCTGTTCTTTATTCAATAAGAATCACTTAAAAAATGGCTAGGAATAAGATTGTATACTTGGATGATTAGGTATATTTTGCGACTCTCCCAAACTTCCCTACCACTCTTAAAATTCACAAGGTACTTTATTGCTTCCCCGGTTTGAAAATTTTAGACTTGTGTTTTCATGCATGGGAGGTTGGCAGTATAGACACAGTGAAAATTAATATGTGAGGGCCTTGATTCTTATGTAATATTTCAATAATGAATTCAGGTTGTTCTTAGCACAAGTTTCTCTTTTTTATGCTGGTATTCTCACTGCCACATTTTTTGAAATCTGTATTACACCTTTAAATCTATCAATAAATGTTAGTTTTCTAATTGTATGTTGTAGAATACTTAGGAGTTTGGGATAGCATGTTCTGAATGGCCTAATTTGGGGAAGAGAAATTAGTGCTTTAATATTTACACTGTTTTTCTTTATACCATAAGTTGTGTAGGAATACAGATCAGTGCAAATTATTACTGATGTAACTGGACTAGTATCATTAGGATTTGAAATCACCAAAACAGCAACACAATGTTTAATAGGACATGTCATCATTGACCTTTCAAATTCTTACTAAGTGACCAAATGATCATTTTAGGTGATTGAGAACTGGGGGGAGGGGGAGAGGAGGAAGGTCACACCATGTGGTGCTCAGGGCTTAGTCCTAACCCTGAACTCGGGATCATTCCTAGTGATGCTCTGGGGACCATATAGGTAACTAGGGATCAAACCTGGGTCAGCTGCATGCAATACCCGGGCCCCCAGATAATAAAGGCTTTTGTTTTTTTTTAACTTCCATTTTGGTTAGCTTTGTTTTCCCCCAGGTGTAGTTTGGTTCTAGGAAAATTCCTCTCATGTCAGTGATTTCCCTCCTTTCCCCCTTTATCCTCTCCTCTCTTTCCCTTTCCTTCCCTCCCCTCCCTCTCCCCTCCCTCTCCCCCCCCCCCCCCCAAGTTCCCCCAACTCCTCTGATGGGGATTAAACTCAGGTTTCATGCATGCAAAGCATGTGATTTGCCACTGAGCCACATCCTTGGCCCTCCTCTTTTTTTGAGGGGAGGGGAACATCCTGGTGGTGCTTGGGATGCCATGGGGTACTGGGGATTGAATCCTGGCCTTTAGCTTGCAAAGCGTGCACTCCAGCCCTTTGAGTCCTTTCCTTGGCCTGTTACTAAATTCTTCATTTTGGTACTCTCTTTACAACTACATATTCTTTTAAAAAGACTGTATTATGGATAAAACTGATCTATTGATTCCCATGAACTCCTTATTCCAAAACCTTAGTCCTCCTTCCTAGCTCTAAAGTAAATCACTTCCAGATCTGTCTGTATAGTTTGCCCAGTGGCTCACAGAGTTGAGTATTAATTGCTTGGTTTAGGGTCATGCCTGGCAGTGGTGGGGGTTCATTCCTAGTGGTGCTTGGGACAATGTGCTGTTGGGGATCAAATCCAGGTATCCTTTGCAGACCATGTGCTCAACTCATGGTGCATTCTTTCCCGCTTCATATACTCTCTGAAACTCAAAGCTTGTTTATAATGTTTTCCCGTCAAACAAAAATTAGTTGCAAGTGTGATCAAAACTAATGACAGTTGCGTAGGGAGAGAGTTCAGCAGGTAAGGCATACCTTGCACATGGCCGACCCACATTCAATTCCTGGGATTCCATATGTCCCCCATGCCAGGAACAATCCCAGAGGGCAGAGCCAAGAGAACCCCTGAGCACTGCCGGGTGTGGTCCAAAAATACCCCAAGCCCCAAGGCAAAAACTAGCAACATCTATTTGAAAGTGATCCATATTTGATAACTTGTCTTTATTCAGTTTTGCAAAAAGGAAAAGTATAAACAGTTAAATCATGCAGGCTTTCCCCCACCCAAACACACTTTTAACATTTCCAAAAGTTGATCAAATGACTTACCTTATATGATTAATCTAGAGTTTATAAACACTTTGAATGATACATAGTGACAGGTAAGATACAGGGAAAATACACAGAATTTTATAGGTTTGATTACCTTGGTAATTGTTAAGCTACGAAACTCACATTTCATTGAGTAGCATTAAGATCATGCATGATGACGGTTAACTTTTATCAAGGGGCCTGAGATACTTTAACAACTTGAATTTTCCATCTGGACAGTAATAATTACATTCAATATGATCTTTACCATAAAGTCAAGTACTCTACTATCCTATTTTGTCAGAATTCATATTTCTTATATTTCTTGCTAAGACTACAATGGAACACACAGTCTGAAGATAGACTTTGGGTACCCGAAATCAAACAGCCTTACTTTAAATGATACGACATTGATAGTTCTACATTTATAATAAACTTTGAAAGTAAGAAAAATGTTAAAAAGAAAAACCACATGTATGTAGGCAAGTTGAGTTTTAGTATTTACTGAGTTTTAGAAACCCTTATCTGTGACTCCTAAAATGCATTTTAAATACTTTTTTGGGGAAAAAAAGGCATTGCTTCCTTCCTTGGTAGAGGACATGGTAAATGTCATGAATACATTTTTTGGGCTTTTTTTGTCACACCTGGTGATGCTCAGGGATTACTCCTGGCTCTGCACTCAGGAATTACTCCTGGCAGTGCTTGGGGACCGCATGGGATGCCGGGATTGAACCCAGGTAGTCTGCGTGCAAGGCAAATGCCCTACCCGCTGTACTATTGCTCTGGAACTTATATGAATACTTTTATTTTTTCAGCTTTTTTGAGTCACATCCGATGATGCTCAGGGGTTTCTCCTGGCTTGGCACTTAGGAATTACCCCTGGCGGTGCTCGGGGACCATACTGGATGCTAGGGATCGAACCCAGGTTGTCCGTGTACAAGGCAAACACCCTACCTGCTGTACTATTGCTTCAGCCTTTATATGAATACTTTTAGCCCTAATAATGTACCAGTGTTTATGTGCTTTATGTAGAGCTTAAATAGTCACTTTTAATGCTTTCTCATGTATTAGATTACTTTAATAGTTTCTGTGAACATTTTAAGTGGAAGATCGTTTTGCTCATGAAGGTAAAGTGACAGGAAGTTGGGAGGATATTGACACTGGTTGTTAGAATTACTGCATCTATTAATTACTATAGCATTTGATGGTATATTTCCTAAACATTTTCTGCTCTGTCTAACAGAGACCAAGGTTTGATTATTTCAGTGTTTAGCCTTCACACCTTGTAGGGTACCAAGTGATGATGGGAAGGAAAGAATTCTGACATTCAGGGCTTGTCATTTAAAAAAAATCGGGGAAAGATAAAAAATATGTATAAATTTGCTTAGGGGATTTCTTGAATAATCAGAAATTTCTTTTTTTAATTTTTAAGAAATTTTTTTTTGATTTTGGGTCACACCCAGTGATGCTCAGGGGTTACTCCTGGCTTTGCACTCTGGAATTACTCCTGGCGGTGCTTGGGGGACCATATGGGATGCCGGGGATTGAACCCGGGTCGGCCACGGGCAAGGCAAATGCCCTACTGCTGTACTATTGCTCAGGCCCATTTCCTTCTTATTAATGCTTCCAATTTTCAAGAATGTTACAGAATTTGACTACGTTGTTTCTCTGGGGGAACAAAAAAAACCCCAGACGTCTGTAAGAAACCCATGTACCATTAAACATAAAATAAGTTTAATGAGTAGCATCACAGTTTTCTTGAATTTTTGTTACAAATAAGAGTTGGGTAGAATATTAGAGTAGTAGTTTATTTTCAGCATGAAATAATGATTAGCATTCAGCGATAAAGCTCTAGTTAGAATTTTCTCATATCATTTAAACAAGCCTTCTGATAGGAAATATGAGTGGGGCATCAACTAAATTAGAGAGAGATTAATGCCAAATGTTAACATTTTAAAAGTATGAATCAAATTACTTTTTAAATTTGGGGGGTTTGGGGGCCACACCTGGTGATGCTCAGGTTAGTCCTGGCTCTACAGAGCTCAGGGATTACTCCTGGTAGGCTTGGGGACCATATTGGGTGCCAGGTGTTGAATCTGGTTGGCTGCATGCAAGGAGGCGCCTTACCCGCTGTGCTTTCTCCAGTCCCAATGTACTTGTTTCTATTAAAATATTTTCTTCAGGTTTATGTAAGATCCACAGGATGGGGAAGGATTATTCAGAGCTTGCCAGCAAGGTTGTGGAAGGCCTGGTGGTTACAATACCTGAGGATGTAAAGTGACTAGCAGTTTGGCAGGTCATCATGAAACTACATTAAACCAAGTAAGTTCAAGATCTTTGAACTCCAGTACACATAAAATTAAAGGAAGTCTCTGAGATGTTTGGCAGTGCTTTTATTACCAAGGGCTAAGTCTGTTCCGAAGGCCCTTTTTCAAGTTCCAGAATTTTACTCAAGTTTTCTGCAAGTGAAGGTGTCTCAGCTCCACAGGAGCATTGAGGGGCCTCGAGTGCCAGGCAGCAGAGGCAACTACCAGTTCTGTGCAGAAAACTGTGCTTGGTGTGTTTTCGTGATCTTGGTACATTTAGTGGTTGAAGAGTGCTGATTCTTTGCAGACTTCGGTGGTGATGTACATCATAACTGATTTCGAAGGAAAGCTCATTATGGTTGAGGCAAAATGGAGGAGACTTTCAAAGTGTATCCAAACCTATCATTTAAAAACATATTACAGTTCCTAGTGCAGATACACACTTGCAGAAACCAAAGCCTTAAAAAGCAGTATGCAAACTAGAGCATCTCTTCACAAGAAAAATTTAAAATACAAATTTTTGTGTAGACACTGGCCAGCTACTCTTCGTCCACTGACTGAAGCTTTCCACATTTCTCTGAAACATTTGAAGTTATTTTACTGTTCTTGTTTCCAAATTCAGAGAGAGAGGCAGTTTCTTCTGTTTCATAATCTTCAAAAGAGCTGAGAGAAAGCAGAAGTGAATTACTCATATTTAGCCAGAATTAGTGATTAAAACATAAGCCAGAGATTGAAGACTGTTTGCTAGTGTACTCTGATGAGGCAGCTAAAAACGACAGGTCACCCTGGAAATGATGCTTAGACTATACATTAATTTCACGTTAATGTGAAAAACCATGGCCAGCGAGCCGAGCACATTTGTTTGGTCCCTGGCACTGCATAGCACTGCCAGGAGTTCCAGAGCACAGAGCCTGCAGCAGGTACTGAGCACCACTGGGTGTGGCTCTCAAGGCTGAGAATGCTGTCGAGCTTTCCCTAAGCTCTTTTGGTGGGAATGAGAGCAGTATGTATGATGCTAGGTTAGGGAGGATGTGAGGTCCCTAAAGTGAATTTCATGTGAATTCACTGAAGAAACCACCTTAGGAATTTTTCTCAACTCACAATGGGCTTCTATGACCCCAGGTACATTTTAATATGCAAGTGTAGACATAAAGCTTACACTTAACATATTAGTAATGTCCATTGTGGTAATCCTTTTTTTTTTTTTTTTGGGTCACACCCGGGGATGTAAAGGGGTTACTCCTGGCTCTGCACTCAGGAGTTACTCTTGGCGGTGCTCAGGGGACCATATGGGATGCTGGGAATCGAACCCGGGTCGGCCGCGTGCAAGGCAAACGCCCTATCCGTTGTGCTATCTCTCCAGTCCCTCTTTTTTTTTTTTTAAAGTAAAATTCTACAACAAGTTCCCTCTGCTCACTCCTTTTTTAGTATACTCTGCATTTATATCCTCCAGAATATCTGGAGATTTACCTGATTGTCAGAGTTGGGTGGATATTGCATCTAGTTGGCAGAGTTCAAATAATGCTGTTTTAACATCCTACAACATGCCAGACAACATCTATTAACAATGACCCAACTTAAACTTGCTCTTTTTTTTGGGGGGGGGGGGTCACACCCGGTGATGATCAGGGGTTACTCCTGACTCATGCACTCAGGAATTACTCCTGGCAGTGCTGGGGGAACCAAATGGGATGCCTGGGAATCGAACCCGGGTAAGCCACATGCAAGGCAAACCCCCTACCTGCTATACTATCACTCAGGCACCACTCTTGCTCTTTAATCTTAGTGCTTTCTAGGGTTCTTCACTAAGTTCTTTAGTATTTTCCTGAGCAGTTAAACCTCCACAACTTGTTCCCCTGTCAAGGTTCTAAACCTACAAGTCCAGACTCTACCCCCTTTTAAGCTCGAGAGTGTTGTTCAGCTGCTTATTTTATGACTCTTCCGGTATAGTAAACCTGAACTTGTCCTTCCTACATCTCTGGTTTTCTGTTTTAGTAAATGCCACTAGACCTAGGCAGAGCCAGAAACCTATTTATCCCTTGGTCTTCACCCTCCCTCCTTTGAATCTCCTTCTCAGACCACTGAGGATACCATGTTGAAACGTCTTGCCTTCTCTTCTCTATTACTACTTCTGTGAGTTAGAGTAGCTTGATTGTTTGGCTTAAATAATCCAGTTTTACTAACAAGTGCTTTTCTTCATTTAACCACAACCTGCTGTCACTGTACACACTTCTTGGCAGCTTGCAGCATCAAACCCCCATTGGTTGACACGTTTTTACTTTTAATATGAAGTATCATTTACAGGGCTCCCAATTCCCATCTTTTATGTAGCGTATAATGGCTTTATCCTCACTTCTTGCACCTTTACTAATCTAGCAAAGGAATCTTGTTAACCCTTTTTGGTAGCTTTTTTAGACTTGCATGATCTGTTCCATTAATCTTTCCTGCTTTGGCTCACTATGGTCCAACTACACTGGTTTTGTTAAAGGTTCTCAACAAACATCCTGCATTCTGCCTCACTGCACACATTTCCCTCTGCTTAGGACATTTTTGCTCTCTGGCCTTTTGCAGAACTGTATCCTTCTAAAACTTAGGTTCACATCACTTCCTCAGGAAATCCTTCCATCAAACTCTGAGGCAGTCCTCTCCGTGACTGGTTCATCACATTTGTTTCTTTCATAATTATATAACTAAATGTGTTTACACTTGAGTGGTCATTTTGTAATGCATTCGTTACCTTGGGCTTGTAAAGTACTAGTACTGGGTGAATTCCTGAATGAAAAAGAATGTCCTAATGTAGTGAAATGAATTACAGAAGGCTAGAGTTGGTAAAATGGTGAGGAAGTCATCTTGAAGTCATTAAAGAACCGATCACGATCACGAGCACCAGTAACGTCTCCTTCGTCCTAGCCCTGAGATTTTTAAGTGCCATATTCAAGGCTCTTTCAGGGCTAGGAGAATGAGACCCATCATTGTTACTGGTATTTGGTATATTGGGTATGCCACGGGGAGTTTGCCAGACTCTGCCGTGTGGGCAGGTTACATTCGGTACCCTGCCAGGTTGAAGAGCCCTGAGTCATTTTTTACTTTTTACTATTTTGTTTTTTGGCCATACCTGATGATACTCAGGGATCACTCCTAATGGGCAAAGGGGTGCCATCTGGGATGCTGGTGATCGAATTGGGGTGAGTTGCATGCACACCCCTCCTCCCCCAGTGTACTATCCCTGGCCCAATTTATTTTTCTTGGGGAAAATATCTTTCTTAGCACTGCTCAAGGCCTAGGGGCACCCCAGCAATAATGCTCAGCTCAGTGGTGAAGGCCTGGCAATTTTTGGGTGGTCTGGCCCACACTCATGGTACTGCTGGTCTCAGCTCTGTCTGGGGGCACCAGGACCAAACTCGGGTGTTCAGGGACACATGATTGAATTCTCAGGCCTTGTGCGTGCATGAAAGGCTTGCATCCTAACTTTTTGGGCCATCTGAATCTTCGAATTATCTTTTTTTTTTTAATTTAAACTTTTACTTATTTAGGCACCATGAAATTACAAAATTCTTCATGGTTGGGTTTAAGGCATACCGTGTTTCAACGTCCATCCCTTCACCTGTGTCCACTTCCCTCCACCACTCCCCCCACTGTCCTGCCCCATCATCTTTCTCCTGCTTTCCAGGAATTCCTTAGGGAGTGTAATGTGTTTACCTCTTCTTTCTAAAGTTCTCCTTCTAACTTTACTAGTAGATCACTGGGATTCCTCAGGACTCAAAAGAATGTTTTAGGAAATACTATTAACTGGCTATTTTTTTAAATGAGTAAGAGGGGCAAACACTTGGTTTGATTTCAGGACATTATCTAGGAATTGTTTTGAATCTAGTTTGGGAGATCTTGCTATTCCCAGGACATGGGGATAGACTATGTGACTCAGGGTTTGAGTGGGAACAACTAAGATATGCAAGCTTAGAATGAAATATGGTGAGAGTTGGGAAGATAGCTCAGTGGTCATGGTCTATGCGTTATATGCATTGGGATGGAGTTTCAACCCTAGGACCACACTGCCATCTCCAGCCCCCAACCCTGAATTGCTGTGTGGTGCTGCAGGCCCCTGGTACCCTGCAGGCTGCTTTCCCTGATGGTTCCTGGCACTGCAGGCTTGAAGCAGTGCTGCACCCCTGGGCCCTGCATTGAACTGTGGCCCAGTTTGTCAAGTACTGGTGGAGTGTCTCCTGGGTCCTCTGAGCACTACTTAGGAGACTCCTTTGTGCCCCTCCCCCCAAAATCATGTGCTGACTTGGAATCCATGCTCAGAAATTGAGTGAATTATAACTTTGTACTTTTAAATTAAAAAACATCCATTTGTCAAATGAATTAACTGAAATATTCTGGAAAGTAGATATTTCTTGCTTGGGAATTTGCATCTATAGTTGTTAATTCTTATTTTGGATATAAATATGAATTTAGTATATTCTAATTATGACTTTGAAGGGAGGGTCAGAATTTAATTTTTGTTACCAATCACGGTGTCTGGCATTGGGTAGCAAATAATCTAGTGAAAAATTAAAATGTGGCTGATTTGTTGACTGAAGAAAAATGAAAACTTTAAAAATAAAAATATTCACTTCAGTTCCATATAATTGCTCTGTTTACTGGACACTAAAAATGACTCAAAAATAATTGTAAGGTTATATCTCATTATTTGGGATATTAATTATTGCCTTCTCTTGGCCTCAATATACACAAATCATTTCACCTTTATCGATCCTGCTTCTCTTCTAAGTCCTCCCACTTCACTAAAGAAAGGCTTCAAGCAATTTGTTTCCTATAGCTACATTCCTTGATCTTCCTAGCTACATTCCTGGAGATCGTTCTGGTGGGGTTTGGCTGGCTTTCTTTGCCTGTGGTGCCTTTTACGGGTAGTGCCTGTGGAAGTAGCAGAACTCTGACAGAAAGAGTAATTCAAACAAGATTATATTTGACATGAAGAAAAAAGATGCCTCAATCAACATTTAGAAAACAGCTCTTTAAAACTGTCTAAATGTCCCATAATAGGGAAATGGTTGGGATGGTGTCATGTTTTTCAGTACAGCAGTGACATTAATTGTGACAAAGAAATATACCAAAGTGTAAAAAATGATTGGATAACTGAACCAAGGACAATGTAATCTCTGTGTTCTCTAATTTGTCTGCAGCAAGCATGTATATTTTTACTGATCAGAAAAAAAATTGTTTAATGTAGGTTAATCAAATGTTAGTAAAGTACCAGAATATTCTGTTGGAAAGTGTTTCTTTTTTTTTTTTTTTTTGCTTTTTGCATCACACCTGGCGATGCACAGGGATTACTCCTGGCTCTGCACTCAGGAGTTACTCCTGGTGGTGCTCAGGGGACCATATGGGATGCTGGGAATCGAACCCGGGTCGGCCGCGTGCAAGGCAAACACCCTACCCACGGTGCTATCTCTCCAGGCCCAGAAAGTGTTTTTTAAGGTAATTTTTGTTTTTGAGGGGTTTGTGTCACACCTGGGCAGATGTTGGGGGTGCCATGCAAGCCCTGCACAATATGGCCTTGAAATAACAAACTTAGAACTTAAAAGCTTGTTTCAGGTTATTGTGGGTCTCAGTTTCTTTTTATTTTTGCCACTTCTGGTGGGGCTTGGTCATTGGTGGTGCTT